CGACGTTTCTTACGATGACGTCTCTCCGCTCTCCGCTCTCCGCCGGCGCCGTCGACTCCGTCGAGCGTTGTCCGTGCCGATAACTCGCGATACCTCGCGATACTACGCCGAACGATATCGCGAGCCGTACCGTCGCGCAACTGAGAGGCGTACCGTCTGCGTATTCCACCGTGCGTATCTCCACTCGCACAGTCTCGCAGTCCTCGCAGTGCTGCGTGAAATCCTCCTGCGAGAGGGACTTGCTCGACGCTCAACACGCTCGCTCGTACGCACCGTGTTTCGCGGACGACTCGCAGACTTGTCCGCCGCTTTTTGCGTTTCTCCTCTGCTCTCGCGAGTGCCTCTCCTCTTTTTCTCTCTCTGTCTCTCTCTCTCTCTCTCTCTCTTTCGAGTTCTCCTGCCCTCGCCTCCGCGGCGCAAACTCTCCCTGTCCCTCTCTTTCTCTTTCTCTTTCTCTCCCTCTCGTCGTGTAAACACGCGCGCACACACACACCGCAGAATCTGTAACCGCGGCAGCAAGAGTCGGCACCGCACTGCTCGACCGTATCGCTCGCTCGGCCGCTCGAACCGCACCGCTCGTACGTTTCCGTTGTTGCTCGACGACGCTCGGTCGTGTTCGGGTTCGAAGCCTCACGGCGGTGGAGGCGGTGGAGGCGGTGGTGGAGGCGGCGGCGGCGGCTGTGGCTGGTCCGGCATAGTCTGTCCTTTGCTACTTTTCACTCACGCCGATCTCCGTCTCTCTCTCTCTCTCTCTCTCTCTCTCTCTTTCTCTCTCTTGCCCTTCCTGTCTCTCCCGCCCGTCTCTTTCCCCCTCTCTCTCGCTCTATCTCTCTCTCTCTTTTACCGTGCGCGCGTTCGACCGCCTCTCTCTCTCTACCATTAAAGCCTCACCCTTCCTTCCCTCTTCCTTCCCTCTCGCTCCTCAAATGTACTTCTCCGTTTCTTCCTCTTCCTCTCTCTCCCACGCACGTGCGCTTCCTCTCTCTCTTCGTCGCTCGTCTTCCCTCCTTTTCTCCCACGATCGTTTCATCTCCCTTATTCCGCTCCCCTTCTCCTCTCGTCTCTCTCTTCTCGTCCGTCACACTCATCCACCTCCCACACCCACCGCCCTCCTCTTTCGCCCTCTTTCTCCCCATCTTTCTTCTTCTTTCTTCGTACGTCTCTCATTCTTTGCATCCTCCATTTTTGTTTTTTTTTTTTTCCTTTTTACGACTGTCCTCGTCCCGCTCGCGGCCAAGGATAGTCGATGAGCGGACTCGACAGGGTTAATCGATCGCCGGCGATCGATGGTAAATCATGGCACGCGCCCCGGCGATCGATTGAGATAGATCGATCGTAAGTGCAGCCCGCGCGATCGTTACCCGGTACGCGGCTACGTCGGCCGCATCGACGATAAGGCACTCCGCACTCCGCACTACCGCGGTGAGAGAGGGAGAGAGAGAGAGAGACGAGCGAGCGAGCGAGCGAGCGTATAACGGTCACTCTCCGCGCGCGTAACAGCCAACGACGAAGCCAGGGCCGAATTTACAACGGATCGGTACGTCCTTTCCACCTATGGACCGAGGACATTATGCAAATTAGCTCTCGCGCGCGCCGCGACCGGCAAGATTGTATTTGCGTGTGGATGTCGCAATGGCAAGATTCTTGAAGATGCGACCGGGGAAGACGGGTTCGCGCTCACATATTTACGTAGGTGATCTTTTTTTAGATTCTACACACTAGCGAGCCTCCTTCAGGCATCCCCATCTTCTCACCTTTATCTTCATTTCGCCTTACTCCTCATTTTCATCCTCACCTTCGTCCTCTCCGTTAGTACATCTTATATTGGCTTTTGTAATCTACTGACAATGCTGACAGTTTCGTGGTCGTAAATACGGCTCTTCGAAATACATTACTATCACTATACTGTCTGTGTGTAATGGAGCACTTCTTAGATGGAGAACACTCGATTCGATTCAGTTCTGTTTGGTTCAGGTGTACATGTGTAAAGTTACGAGCGATTATCGTGGCAGAAAGTTTGCGACAAGTATGTACAACGCCGAGCAGCAGTTGCTGTAAAGAAGGTCATAAATATTGCAAACAGTTCGACGACGAGTTTGGATTTAGATGATGCATTCTTAATTTCGATTACTGAAAATACTTGGCGGGGTCAACGTATTATGATGCTTCGTGCTCAAAATTACATCAATGACGCTGCATTACGAATGTTAGCATCTACCAGAAATATCAGGAAGTTGCGAATTTTTAAAGTCGATTCAAGAATAATTTTCAGCATTTTGCAATCGAAATCTATTTGGGAGTAAAATAACAACAATATTCAGAATCTTTATTCAGTAAAGTAACATCTCTTCATTCATTGTATCTACATTTTCTTAGACTTTGTTTAATTCTAAGTAGATTATTCTTCGCGAATACCGAGATTTTTACAGGTGATAGATAATGACGATGTGATCGTTGCCTAAATAAGTTATACCCGAACGTTTCTCGAATAGGAGCTCGTTTAAGATGCATTTTGAATTCTCTGATTGTGCGCGAGAGTTTCGAATTGAATATAAAATAAGTTAACGTATATATACGGGGGTTTAGAGAATAGCGAAGAGGATGAAATGCTCAAGTGCGACTGAAACGGGCAGATCTAGAATTAACAATCGGTTTTGCCGGATATATATATATATACATCTCTAATAACACACACCTATATTTTCCCTACGTTTTCATTACTCCTCGCAATGTAATCCCGGCGACGCCGATAAACAATTAACGATTGCGGTATTAATCGGCCACGTCGCGATGCGGCTCGCCTCATTCCTCATCATCGCCGTTAGTCGTCGTCATCGTTGCCCCTGCCGGTTGCACGCTGCCCGCCGTCGTCGTCGTCGTCGTCGATCGCGAGCGGCGCGATCGATCTCGCTCGGGGAGAAACGGACTAAATTATTATTCCCCAGAGTTGATTTCCGATTTCGTTCTCCGCGGGACACGACGACGG